GTCTCTGTCTCCCTCCCATTGTGCTGCTCGATTTACGCTCAGGTTTTAGGTCACGGTTATCGTTATTTTTTTTAACGTAAAGCAGGTGACATCACAGAGGGTTCCCTTCGGTTTAACCCGACGTTTTTTCTCCCTCGGCCGGGCCCCCAGGACCGCCCCCCCGCCCCGTACTGCCCCTTGGGGCGCGGAGCACCGGGCCTCCAACGGGCGTGCGCGACCTGCATCCTGGTGGCTAAACGGAGAGGGGGTGTTCCCCCAGTGATGCCTTTATTCTCTTCACCCGAGACAGCCGGTACTGCGTGACGGGGAAGACGCAGGGACATCGAGCTCCAGCCGGACAGCGACTACTGACCCCGAGGGGGGGTCGCCCACAAGGCCAGGAGGGAGCACCCCGGTCCTGCCCAGACACCAGCACTTGGCCCTGTACCCCGCTGCTGTAAGGGCTTTTTGCCACAAACCCAAGCAAGGCCAACCCCAAACTGCAGAGTCACCCGAGTACGCAGTATTCCAAAAAAATTCCCTCTTTAACAACAAATTCCCAGCTAGCTACATAGAAGTTCGTTGTAATCTATCAAGAAATAATTGTTTTCCTCATACTACAGATTAAAAAAAAATGCATAATTTATGCTTGAAAAAGAGAAACAGAGGCCTACAGCATTTATAGTTATTTTATTATTTCAGAAACAAACAGCAAATACTGTATTAGAAAGCTGTTTCAGCTACATCTTTGGTATTATTCAGTTAAACTGTTTAAGAAACTATGAACAGGAAAAATATACAAACAATAGCAAAAAGTTAAAGCTTTGTCATTTAAATACTGCACAGGCACCATATGGTTTTTCCTTACATTCTTTGTTGAAGGACTAGAACTAGGTGATGGGTAATTTACCACAGGACACCTGGGTTTGAAAATAGCAATCAATTCTCACCCCACGAATAACCTGTAAGGACATCTGCTGCAAAGACATACTTTTATTCCCATTCTTGCCTGAGTGCTTGTCCAGGTATTATCCAAAAAATCCTGCCTTGTCAGGATGTTTCACAAGACTCGGAACAGGCTGAAAAAGACTCCTTTAATGTCTAGGGAATGTATCAAAACATTAAACAGGTAAGTCTGGGGAAAAAAAGAAAAAAAAAAAAAAAAGAACTGAGGATGGGTGGAAAAAGGGGGAGGGGAGCTAAAGATGTACTCCAATATCCTCAGAAACAAAATTCTTCCTTTCCTATGAGATGTTGGTGCCTGACTTGCTGCCTGGTGGCCACAAACAGCGAAAGCTGCAATGGGAGCGGCAAGGACAGAGGAAGTATTCACTGAGCAAGTGAGATGTTTCTTGTGTCAGCAAGAAGTCAGACCTCTACACTCAGATGCACAGGGCAAGAGTTGTTTTAAATGGCAGTTGCTGTGTATGTTTAAGCAGCTGTTACTCTATCCAAGCCTGAGATGCAGGCCACAGAAGTGGATTCAGGCACAGATGAAAGAGACAGTTAGTGCAAAAAGAGTAGCCCTATTCTAAGGAAACAAAGTTACTGTGTAATGGTGGCTCTTTTGCCAAGACATCTCCTTTTTAGGGAGAGCAAAATCTGCCACAGAACAAAATGCTGGAAGTTTTGTTGTGCCGGATGAAGAAGAGGAAGGGATGATCTGCAGTGAATTCTGGAATGATTCGTGCACAGCGCAACATCATCACTCCTGCTGTGGCTGCTGCTGCTTCAGTGCCTTCTTCGTTGACTTCCACAAAGGACTTGTGAACCACTTCTGAGAGCACCAGCTCGGTGCCGGCTGAGATTCCTGAGAAATCTGCCTTCCCTAAGTCAAACGCATCAGGCATCCCCATGCTTCTCAGAAGGGGTTTCAGATCATAATCTTCTTCCAGTTTAAACCTGGGTAAAGACACCCTCACCTCTGTACAGTCCATCATTTCAGGATTGATCCAATCTATCAGCTTCTCATACGTAAGCTCCCTTTCCAGCTAAAGAAAAACCCAAAAGTTACATAATTAAAATGAGTCAGTTTTACACAGACAAAAGTAGTGATTACTGTGTTTGTTTACATAGTGCATAACATGCATCTTTTTCCCATGATACTTCTCACTAGACACTATGGCCCCAGCTAAAATTAATCCCATATGCTTTTTGGTAGATACAACAAGGATCAGTCCCTTCTACATAAAGTTTACTTTTATAAAGCATGTTAGACTGAGGTTTTTTTTACATTTTCACATCCAGGAAGCAAGGACACTGCTGAATTGATGACAAGGTCATAAAGACACTGAACCCAGTTCTTCTACCTCTTAACCAAAGGGTCCTCCTTCAGGTTGACAGGCTGATGAAAAAGTCAGCTCACAACTCCTTTAGCAGTCAGTGTCAGAAAACCATATTAATAAATACCTTGTCCAAAGCATGCAATAGCCAAAACTTGTATCACATCTCCACAATAGAAGAGATCCTACACTTACCCATGAGCCCATTTCCAGGTGGTGGGGCAGAGACAATCTGCCAGCTGTTCAGAACAGATCTATGGGACAAGCTACAGGACTTCCCAAGAGCTCCCCCAAATCTCCCCTCCCCACATATGGTGCTCACCACACTAGGCCTTCGCCATAACCACAGCTAACCTCTGCTCCTGAGGAGGGCTGGGTCGTCTTCCAGAGCCTCTGGCTAAGAGGGCACCACACAGCTTGACCAATAGTGACACAAGGCCTGACAGTCACTGTGGGTGCAGGGAGGTGGGGGACATTTCAGCTGGTGCTGAGCACCAGTGACATAATAGGCGTGGAACTGAACTGCAGGTCTATAGGCAATATCAAACCTTTTTCCCTGGAAGGATAGAGACTGTCTTTGCTTTTAGCTCAACAACTTACACTCTCCAAGCCAGTGGATCCATCCTGGATTGCATCAGGGAGCAGGATGATCATGCTGAGTTCATTACCAACATAAGGGAGCTCAAGGATTTTGGTCTGGAAGTCCCCAATATAGGTCATGTTAAATCTATCCTTCTTGAACATCATCTGAACAGGTTTGGTCTCTTTCTAAAAAATAGAGAGATATCAATAGTACTGAGGTAGTATGCTGGTCTTGAAATACAAAGCAGGCATCCAGTTACTCAGGGCTTTTTAGAATTTGACTAAAGAGAACTAAATACACCACAGAGTACAGCTCTACCACTGTCTTTTGTAAAGCAAGAGTTAAGAAGGACCCCCGAGATTTAATTTTTAATGTCTGTGAAGTGTCCTTTAAGGCAAAGACACATATTTGCTCACTTAAGAACTAGTAACAAGCACTGAACAGAGCTGGTAAAAAAGCAGGTCTTGTGTTCCTTGCTTTAAATGAATACAAAGTAATTTCAGTGTAGGTATTTTCACTTTTAGTCCATGTGGCTCCAAGTGCCATAACAAAGAGGAATGAAAATATTTTAAAATGATACTAAAAATGCCAAGAAAGCAAGAACATTATTTTGAATTCTTAAAAGTCTCATGGAAAGTAAGGAAGGAAAATATTTTTCTTCTCAAATTCATTCTCCTCTATCTCCTTCCCTTTTCACATGGAACATCAGCTACTATTGTTGACATCATTATTTTCCTTCTTTTCAGTTAAGAGTTCCACTGCTTTCTCCCTCACTCTCATGACATAACCATGCAAGTAGGTTTTTGTTTTTAAAGCCCATCGAAGCAACGCCCACAGAGGATACAGCAGGAATTATTTTGCAACAGCAGTGACACATGAAGAGGATGGATAAGCAAAGAAAAGGCCACACAACATGTGAAAAATCATCCAGTGAGTCATACGAAATGCAAGAGTCACAGAAATAGCCACAGGATGCTGGAAAGGCTCCTGGGATGTTAAAGTAACTCTTAGCATACAATCTGTCCAGTAACAAACTAGATTAAATCTTACATGTGGGATTTCCAATTGCTCATTTGAGCCTACTCACACACTTCTACAGCATGAGCTGCAATCATGCAAATACAAACTTAAGCCATTTAGTTTTACAAGAAAAGAGATTTGTAGTTGCTTGCATATCTAGAAGTGAGTTCCTTGGGTGAGCCAAAGCAACATGCTCTAACCTTACTCTTACAGCTTTCTCCAGTAGTTATCTGGATCCCAAAAAACTCTCAGTATTTTAAAAATATATATATACTCTATATTTACAAAGTAAAAGGTAATCTCAGAGCTAGACTGGGCTCTGAGAATGTTCCAGAAACATTAAGATCTGGGTCGTGAGCTCACCCTGGCACAGTATCCAGTACAGAAATATCACTGAATTTGCTTCTCCTCAGGACAGAAAGGAAAGAGCAAATCTGTAAGCTTGAGCTTTGTGTGACATCTCTGCAGGGAACTGATGCCAAACCTTCCATGTGTGGTAGCACTACACAATATTCTATCACAAGTAAAAAGGCAGATTATTCAGCTGCCCTACATGCTGTTAGTGTTTCATTTTAAAACCTGGCCCTAGGTTTGCACTGGTCGAGGAAAAGAAAATGAAACAGTGTTCTCGGATACTCTGTGAGCTTTTTCAACAGGTTTCAACAGTGAGAGGGCAAGGTGTTAGGAACCAAGTCAATTCAGCTGTTTCTGAAGCGCTGTAGTAGGTACTATGGCGTAAGTGGTAACAGTTCCTGTGTAAAAAGTGGTAATAGCAGTTTCAAACATTCTTAGATATAGATCATCATGGGGGAGGGATAGTTTGAAGTCAGGCATGACAGCTTCAATTTCGCATGTTTGTTTTAAGCAGGTGGTTAAGCAGGTTAAGGAAGTCATGTTACAAGTTCTTGTTAATAACATCTGGAGGAATACACAGAGTTTGAGGTGAATCTGAGGGGCAGCCATGGCCTGCTAATGATAGTAGCCGAGTCTTCTTCAATAGCACTGATCTACTTCTAAAAGCAAGCAAGTATAGCATGGAGGTCTTCAAAGGTGATTTCCCCCCACACACATTTATTTTGGATCAGTTCAGTGGTAGAAATGCAGAAAAAAAGCACACTGACTGAAGATTTACATTCAGAAATTTCTGCACATGTGTAAGTGCTCTTTTCTGCCTACAACCTAAAGGAAAATTTATTTTCTTACACCAGTTTTATGCTGAAATAATCAAGTTCACTAACAATTGTTCACAACTCTCAAATAGTCTGACAGCTTCACTCAACTGTTTTCTTCAGCTCTAAGTTCTGTAACGATGTAGAGGGCTACCTCTATCAAACAAACAAGAAGGGTGAAAGGAAAAAAAGAAAGAGACAGAACAAAAGAAATACTTAATTGTTAAATTTCTAGTAGTTATGTGAAACAAGAGAAACAAAACAGAGAGTGTTTATATTAAAAGGAGAGTGTATAAGGAATTTCATACAGCTTGCCCAAGATAACCTTGCTTGAATGATTCTGTTAAATGTATTCATTTCAGAGTACTTGAGTAACAGTGTATTGTCAGCATTTTAGCACATAATACCTTGTTAATCTGAAATGGCTTTTCTGCTGTCCTCTCTTTGTTGAACTGCTTTTCCCAGTTGCCTTTGAAATAAATGGCATTCACCAGCACAAGTCTGGTCAGTGAACTGACAATCCCCTCCATCAACAAGTTCTGAATTTTACCTTTATGATACATAGAAAAAAACACATTTTTTAACAGTTTGCCATTTATCTAATTATATCCTAATATAGTATTTACTCTGTAATTAATACACAATAGATAGGAGAATTATGTACCAGAGCAAGAGCTCAGTATTTGGGGTTTTTAATTCACAATATTATATCTTGAAACAGCTGTTTACCCAAGCCCTGGCAGCCATTACATACAAGAGGGCATTTTGCAAAACACTCACCTTCAGTCCTTTCCTCTACCCAGGCATTTATTTGTTTTCTGGAATCCTCCCAAGCATGCATGAAGTCAGTCTGTTCTAGTCCAGCATGGTAGAATTTCTGACTTGACTCTATAAAAGACTAACATGGACATTGAGAACAGCTTTTCAGCAATATATTTTACTCACATTCAGCCACAGATGATTCCTAAATACATCAAGAAAGACTGCCTACTTTCCTTCCTCAGCTTCATATAGAGCCATTAGTGTTGTCTCATACATTCCTATTAGGTCTTATACCACCTATTTGAACTAAGAATTGTCTACTGGATGTTGTTAAGTCAAATGGCTTGTTTACTATGCTACAAAGTTCTCCATAACTTAATCAAGAAATTATGTGGCTAGTTTTGGGGTGGGGTTTTTTTGCTTCCCTGAGAGAATATATGATTTTGTAAGCTTCTCTCTACATAAATTTCATTGTTAAACTTCCCAGACTAATAGAAAACTTTTAGTTTAAAGGGTAAACCGATTTTTTTTTTTTTTTTTAAGAGGAAAAAACATACCTTCTCTCTGGTTTCATGTAGTTAGATCTTTATTACACAGATGGAAAGTTTTAGAGTACAGTCCATGTAATTTTTATCTACTAGATAAATTAAATACTAGCATTCTTTATAAAAATAATCACTGTAAATCACTCCAGGGGGAAAGAAAAAATAATAGAGCCTTACATCTTCTTGCTTCTAGGGAAGCACTTACAGGAACATGTGTAACAATACCTATTATCCTTATTTAGATCTGATAAGGAAAATCTTAAAAGTCATGTACTCCTCTCAGTACAATCTTTGGATGACTTACATAACAGAAAACCTACAAAATACTGCCCACGCTGAAGAGCAATAACAGTTCTTTTTTATCACCTTTACACATGATGCAGAAAAGAGGTAAGTCAACCAAAAATATAAATGAATCATGGAATTCTGAAGATTTAGAGTCTGATGGATTTTATAGTGCTTTACACCAGTTGTTCATTCAGATCACAGGTTAGCTAAAGTAGTTTCTCTCTCCACCAAGTTCAGATACCAGGTTCTGGCATGATCTATTGTATTGGCAGGTCTCAGCCTAGAAAATTTGGAAAGTAAAACCCAAAGCCTGCCTTTGAACTCCAAAGGAAATAGGTGTCAAGTATATTACACTAAAAAATGCCACAAATTTAATAGTTACTTACTGAGAGAAACTCAAATGTCTTTTCTCCATAAAGTCGGTTAGCAGTTCTCAGTATATATTTGGTGTCTGGAGCATTAATTTCAGAAAGAAGTGACTGATACCCATTGTGAGCATCCTCAGCTTTGTTCAGAGAAAGCACCTGTAGAAAGACAAACATCCTCAGTAGAGTCCATACCTCCTTTAAACACAGTTGCTTCAGCACTTTATTTTTTTTAATATTACTCCTAGGTTTAAAATCTGTGACTTGAAGCCAAAAGATTTTTCATCACACTTCCCATCTGGAGTTTGTCATGCAAGCCACATATGACACACCCAGACAGATGTTGTACAAGTAATAAATCAGGGAGTAGAAAAGTTGCCAGTATTTAGTTTCCTTCACTGAAGCCAAGCACCAAAGGATCACAGAATGGTTGAGGTTGGAAGGAACTTCCAGAGGTCATCTGGTACAACCCCCGTTCTCAGGCAGGGCAATCTGTAGCCAGTAGCCCAGGACTATATCCAGACAGTTTCTAAATATCTCAGAGTATGGCAATAATATAATATAATTTTGGATAAACTTTTCTAGATTTAAACAACAACGAAGTGTGTTTATACTCCTCTTCCACTTCACAAAAGAGGCAAAAATGACTGATCATTCATTTAATACTGTCAACTACACATGTAAAAATATGCCAAGTGATATCTGCCATCTAAGCAAGTTTAAAAATGTTAAGTCAAGGTGCAGCTACCATTTTGACATGCAAGCAGGGTGGATTTTTAATTTTTTTTTTTTTTTAATGTGCCTGGCTACATTTTCAAAACATGTATAGTCTGACATTAAGCCCAAAGAAGATAGTAGAAGAAAATATTTTATGTAACCAGAGATTCACCAAACCTACAAAAAAATTGCAGGTATCTCTTAATGACATATTGAAGAAAGATCTCAATCTCAAAAAACCAAAAACTCCACACAACAAGAACTAGGAACCTCTCAATTTCATACAAAAGGAAGCTCCTCATATAAAAACAAAACCAGGTACTGCTTACATACATATTAAAGGAAGACCTCTGCTCTCTGAGACCAGAATGACAATATAGTTTAGCATAAGTGCAGGTCACAGACTACAATATATAGGTTTGTTGTTCATACAATTCCATCAAATTCAATACACTAAGTTTTATTTAGACATACCTTTGCTATTTGGGCTTCAGTGTTACCTTTTGAACCCAATAAAATCATAGACAAAGCAGATGAAATACTAAAAGGAGAAAAGAACAGATTCTGCCTGCTTTTGTTCTCACACAGCTTTCTTAAGAGATCAAGTGCAAAAGTGGTACTTGATGCACAAAGGCTGTCCATGGTTCAGAGCCTGGGAAATAAAACAAAACAAGAATGGCTCAAATTTATTTGAATACAAACTGAAAAATTATTTCTGTCTGTTACATTTCTCAGTACAAACTATGCAACAAAGGTCATAATTAGGTTGTAAGATTATCAACTCACAGATAAACTGATTTGGTGGAACAAGTACCTTAAATCCCATACTAGACAGTTGAGATACTTTATGGATTTATTCTTTGCCTTTGTATCTCAATCCCATAGCTGTAACAGAGACAGCCGTTTCCACTGGTGTCACTAGACTCTTCACTGGGTAAGTATTACTACTTTTGACATGATCAGATACAACAGTATTTTGTTCAGGACTTTAAAACAATTCTCTTTTGACTTCACAAAGACAATTATTTGCCCTTCTAAGAAAACCTGAGCAAAACATTAGGCATCAGAATTGTAGAATTATAAACTCTTACCTTCTTTAAATTTGTTTATCTTCAGTATTACCTTCAGCTTACTTATACGTGTGTATGCTGTGTTTTAAACCTAGCAGCCGGTCTGGTAGAAGTCAGCAGACTGATTTGACCTACAAGATTAAAAAAGAAAAGAAAAAAATGTTATCTGGTCAGTATGACAGATTACTGTAATTTCCTTCTGCAGTACAAAGAAAATTCAAAGTCCATTTCAGTTCCATTTTACTGCCTGCAACACGGAAACACACGCAATAAAAAAAATCTGCTCATAGATAGCTTTAAGGTACATGCACACCTCAACATGTGCAACTTGATGCCTTGTCATAGTCTAAATACACCAGCTGGGTAGGTACTTAACTAACCTGAGATTAGACCACACACTTATAAAAGAAGCAATAAATACTAGAATGCTGAGTTAACTACAGATAAGTATCATCAGACATCCTAAGTGATCAGATGGTGGTAAAAGTTTGTGTTTTGTTCCTCCCTCAAGGCAGTGCCTAGTGTTGAAACGTTGCTACAAAATATAAAACCAACACCTAATTCATACTACTGATTCATTATCTCAAATAAATAGGCAGAAAGAACAAGTTTCTGCATGCACAATCTTCCACCTAAGAAAATTTCTCGTTAGTGGCTTTGCTATAAACAGTAGCAACTTTTCTCCTGTTTCTTCTCTCCCATAACTAAAAAAAAATTAAAAAGCAAGCTTAGATGGAAACAATCTTCCAATTCTATCTGAAATGAGTAATTTAACAACATGTACTTTACCAGATAAGTAGAAGACACTCAGCATTTTCAGTTCATGTTGCTTACAGTGAAGACCAGAATTTTCCTGCTGTCCTAATACCTGCAGATTGCTAGCAATAAGGTTTTTTGACCTGGATGTCAAAAGGTACAATAGTGACAGCAGCAAGCAGCTATTATCTAGAAAATTTTTGTAGGGCTTCCGTGATAGGCAATAATCTGCACACAAAAGGACACAACTCACACTGTTTGTCTATCTGAAAATCAGTGCATTTAACCAAACTGTAAGTAATATTTAAACAGGTGAGACACAAGGCTAGGAGTTACACCTATAGTTATCCATCCTTTCTCTGCAACTCAGGAATAACAACATAACTACCGACGATACCCTTCTCATCAGAGCGGTTTTGGAGACGATACACAATAACTGCACTTTAAGGAACAAAAACCACATGATACAAGCACGTATTTGTCAGTCAACTGTAAACTATTTGCTTCAAAATCCTCAGTGATCAGAGGGTTTGCTGACAGCAGCTCATTCCTCGCTCTGGTCTCCCCGTGGGCTCTGCGGGCCAGAAGTGAGGCACTCCTGTGGAGCTTTCTAGATGTCCCGACCCCGTGTGTTCCTACCACCATGAATTTGAAGCCTTCATCCTCAGCAGTAGACACCTATACTTTAGGGCAGTCTTTGTGAACAGAAAGGGTGTATCTAGATTTAACAGCTGATCCACGCTGCAGTGTCTCTCCCAACTACAGTTTTTGCCATAGGGGAACCTGGCCAGAGCAGGGTGCAGCTCTCCTGCAGCCCAGGAGATACACCCCGCCAAGACTACAATAGGGATTAGCGCCCGGTACATGCGGGTGTCTCCAGTCCTGTCACCCAAACCGACTGTTTCAAACAGAGCCGGCGGGGGGCGCGACTCGGGGCGACGAGCATCGGGCGGTGTCCACCTCCACAGAGAGAGCCGCGCCTGCGGCACGGACATCCCTGTTCTCACCCTCTGAACCAAAGCAAGTTTTCTTGAGGCAAAAAGGGCTTCATTTAGGCTTTGGGGAGTTAGGAGTGATCTTAAAACATCCGCAGGGTAAGATCACTGACAGCTCCAGTTAACGGCTCGTCACATGGCGCCTCTCCGGGGGGGCAGGCGGTGGGACAT